AAAATTAACATTGAGGTGTAATTATTAAAAAGCAAAGGCTGGGTTGAAGAGACAGTCCAGCAGTTAAGAGCCCTTGCTGCTCTTCCAGAAGACCCAAGTTCAGTTCCCAACACCCACCTCAGATGGTTCTCAACCATCTGTATCTCCAGCTCCAGAGGATCCAACACATAAAACAAAAAAAAATCTTATAATAACAATAATAATGATTAATAAAAAGCTGGAGGTGAAATAGTGGAAAATAAAGGAGATGATCAACAAAAACCTACCGTATGAAAATGCCATAAGGAAACAGGTTAACTTCATATACAATTTAAATATGTATGCATGTATTGTGGTAGTTTTAATGAAAATAGCCCCCATAGACTCATAGGAAGCAGCATTATTGGAGGTGTGGCCTTGTTGGAGGATTGTGTTCTCTGGGGGTGGGTTTTGAGTTTTCAGAAGCTCGAGCCAGGCCCAGTGGCTCACCCTCCCTTCCTGCTGCCTCTGAATCTTCACATACAACTCTCAGTTCTTTCTCCATCACCGTGTCTGCCTGCACGTCACCGTGCTTCCCACCATGATGACAATGAACCAAACCTCTGAACTGTAAGCCAGCACCAATCAAATATCTTCCTTCATAAGAGCTGCAGTGGTCATGGTGTCTCTTCACAGCAACAGAACCTCAGACATATCTATCACACTGATTGTGCAATGTGATACAATTATAATTAAGTCTTTAAAGGGGAAATCAGCACAGCAATTGTACAATTAACGGAAGCAAGAGCAAAGAGAACACAGATTGACACATTTAAAAATAATTATTTAAGCCAAAGGAAAATCAGCATAGCAATTAAGTCACACCCTGAGAGCAGAGATGAAGAGAGAAACTGACAATGTGTCAGGGCTTCTGTCAAAACTTAGATCTGCAAGGGAGAGGGAAGCCTTCGGGACTTTTATTATCAAACAGGAAAATGTGGGTTCATGTTGAGTTTTGCATTCAGTTCCAAAATTTTAAAGTGTTCTGGGTATGATGGCACATCTAAATCCCAGCACTAGTGAAATGGAGGCAGGAGGATCAGGAGTTCAGGGCTAGCCTCAGCTACATAGTAAGTTTGAGGATAGCCTGGGCTGCATGAGACCATGTCTCAAAATCAAACAAAATCCCAAGAATTTACAAATGTATCAATAAAATCAAATTAAGAGAAGAATGAAGAGGAAATAATAAGAACTAGAATGGATTTAACAAGGTAGAAATGGAAAATACAGTTTAGAAACCAGAATCCATTCTCTGAAAAGAGAATAAACAGAACCTGGGGTTGGTGGTTAAGAGCTCTGGTTGTTCTTGCAGAGTGGGCACAATAGTGTACACCTTTAATGCCAGGAGGAGGGTCTCCGTGAATTTAAGACCAACCTTGTCCTGAAGGGAGTTCCAGGACAGCCATGACTACACAGTGAAACCCTGTCTAAAAGCAACAGAAAAGATGGAGAAGAGAGGAAGATACCCAGGTTCAATCTTGGGCTTCCACACAAGAACATACAAGTAGGTGGGTACCCTAACACACGCAACTCATACACACACACGTTTTAAAAACTTCTAGAAAACATGAGCTGACAAAAGTCATGAAAGAAACTGACAAAGGGGTCAGCAAATCAACTTCCTAAAAGGTTAAAACTTAAATGATCCCACGAGCAAATTTGCCTAATTGTAAAGGAAGGGGGAAATTCTGGAATGCTACAAACTTCTTCAGAGCAGTCAGAATAGTGTGTGTGTGTGTGTATGTGGTGTGCATTATGGTTTATGTGGCGGGTGTGAATATGTGTGTGTATGTTTGTGATGTGTGTGTGTATTGTTTATCAGATGTGTGCAAGTTAGTGACATATGTATGCTTGTGTGTGTGTGTGTGTGTGTGTGTGTGTGTACAGCTCCCCCACTCATCTGAGAGGAAGTAGCATACCTTGATAGTGAAATAAAACACCATGATGTACAGAATCTAGGAGGACAGAGTAACAGACCTTTGACCAGAGCAAAGGTAGTTCTGCTTCCGGCTAGCGTGATTCCAATCCTCACTAGGTTGACGTGCAACAGTAAGCTATGTCCATCAACAACACAGAACAGTGTGGACACATTACAAACCCAGTGTCAGGCAAGCTCTTATCCACTAGTTTTATTTTAGTTTGCATTCCAAACTCCAAAATCTGGAAAATATTAATAAGCAACATCAACTAACATGAATTTACTTATACATACCTCTTCAAAGATAAATTTGACTTGGGGATTTACAAGACCCCAATACAGACTACTGCTTTCACTGTATCTTGAAAATAAAATTTCCCGAAGTTCAGATTTACCCACACCTACTGTGTACCCTATGCCTCCCTATGTCATAACTCTAACAGTTAAGATATACAGAAAGCCAGGTCTACCTGATTCCAAAGATTACACTTTTTTCCTAATGGAAAAGTCATGTGAGGGGTAGTCAGGTATTTGGAGGAAGAGCTGTCATTCTGACTCAGGGACAAATGCGACTGAAGTCTTGTGATGACATCTTCAAAAGAAGACACACCCCCGAAAGCCCACGGGAGTTCGTTCACTACAGTTTCCCTAATTACATATCTTTCTTATCTTTTCTTCACATTATATACCTGAAGTAAAATGATCTTTATTCCTGAAAAGTCCTAAGAGTTGTGGCAGCCAGATGCTGTTGATGTCTGTGGTCCATGTTACCACCAAAGGCCAGGGGGTTGCCCACGATCTGTGCAGCCATGCAACCACCAGAAGCCATGTTTATGTCGGTGGTCTGTACTGTCGCCAGAGACCATGTGGAAGCCCATGATCCTTGCTGCCTCCGACTATCAAAGGTAAGGAAGCTTCTTTTGCAGTGGTATTGATGATTGCAGACTCACAGTTGAGAATGGGAGATACGGAAGGCTTGTGGGACAATCTCTCTCCCCCATCCCCACCCCCAAATTAAAATCGAAGAAATAGAATAGACATAAAGCCATTGAAGAGAACTCTTTAAAATTGTGATAGGGATGCTGAAATGTAGCTCTTCACAGTTGATGGTCTCTCTCAGGGGTAGGGATGGGGAAGACTCAGCTTTCTTTAAGGGGCTGGCCACTGAGAGTTTGACCATGCTCCAGTGAGTATGTGTGCAACACAAATTGGACTTTCTTCTTCTTCTTCTTCTTCTTCTTCCTCTTCTTCTTCTTCTTCTTCTTCTTCTCCTCGTCCTCCTCCTCCTCCTCTTCCTCCTCCTCCTCTTTCTACTCCTCCTCCTCCTCCCTTCCCTTTCCCCTTCTTCCCTCCCCCTTTCCCTTCTTCTGTTTTAGGGGCAGTCAGAAGTGTGGGGGTGGACCTGGGAAGGCTGACAAGTGAATGTTATTGGGTGTATTATATGAAATTTCCAAATAATTAAAATTTTATGTTAAAAAAGTCCAAAGAGGCCTAACTTCATAGCTGGTCTTATATTATTTCAATAGGCAAAACTTTTTATTACTTTTCTCTGGTCTTAGACTGTCATCTCCCAGTGCATGGTAACAGCAATATCTGAGGAAGATTTTCTCAATGGGTCATCAAACAACTAGTTACAGAGTGACTCGCTGAAAATAACAAATGGCACCAACTGCTGCCCAAAGTTTATCTATAAAGCATGATTAAATACAAATTCTTTTCTTAATTAAATACTTGTTTTTGATTTTGTGTTTTCGTGTATACACACATGTATGAGTGACCACAGAGGCCAGAAAAGAACATTGGATCTCCAGATTGCAGTGAGCTGCCACATGGGTGCTGGGAACCAACCCTCTCCGAGTACAGTAAGTACTCTTATCTACTGAGTCATCTCTTAGTACCTGAAGCCTGATTGTAAAAAAAAAAAAAAAAAAAAAAAAAATTGACTTGAGCTGCAGAGACAGCTTAATTGGCAAAGAGCTTGCTGCACAAGCCAGACCATCTGAGTTCAGAAGCCCACACAACTTATTATAATTGTGTCATATTTTTAAATCCCGTGGCAGTTACATGCAGTGGCCTACTCCTACTTTTTGCATACATGCTTGTGTTGTGTGAGTGTGTGTGTGTGTGTGTGTGTGTGTGTGTGTGCACATATGTGAGCTGGAGGGCAACCCTGGGTATCCTGAGTATCCTAAACCATTTATGTTTTGAGACAGTCTCTCAATAGCCTGGAGCTTACTGATTTGACTAGACTGGCTGGTCTGCAAGCCCCAGGGATCCTTCTGTCTCTCGGTGCTGAGATTGCAGATGCATAACTGCTCAAGGCTTTTGGCCTGTCTGCTGGGAATCCAAATTCAGGTCCTAGTACTGTGCGTCTAGCACTTTTCCAATGGAGCCACCACCCAGTCCTTATTCCTCCTCCTTAGACAGAGTTTCACCGCGCAACCCTGGCCAGCCTAAAACTCACTATGTCAACTATGTTGGCTTCAAACTCAGAGAAGTCCACTTACTTCTGCCTACAGAGCAGAGCACTAGGATTAAAGGTGTGCACCAGCACGCCTGGCTCCTACTCCTACTTCTCAAAGCTCCTTTGGGGCCACTCCCCCATTTACCAACACAGACCTTTCTGCACTCTAGGGCTACCTCCTGCTCCCACTTAACCACTCTTGACCTGACTCCCCAGCCTGAGGTGCTCACAGTAGCTGAGAAAATGACCTTGGGCCTCTCTGTTCCTCCTCTTCCTTCAGCAAGGGAAAGAAAGGCCTGTTGGGCTTCCTAGCAAACGTAATAAGCCGTGAACCCCTCTATTCCCTGTACCCCTGCAAACCCTTGCATCAGCATCTGGTCCTTTCTGTTACCACTCACTCCTCCCCCGGGGCTCAGCTGAGAGACAGTCGCCAGTGCCACTCATCGGGATGACAAGAGAATAAGAATGTCTGCTCTTACTGCTCTGCTCTGGAACAGCCTCAACCCTTCACTCACACCAGCTGAAACCCCCTGCCCTGCTAGCTTCCCGCATCCTCTGCTCAGAATTCTCTAGGAGAAAATGCTACTTCCTTCCACCTACCAGCCATCTGGAAATCAAGGATGGCGGGCACGGAGCGCCGGGGAGGGGCCGCAGAAATGCGCACGGTGTAGTTGGCGCCTTGTTGGAGGTGAAGGCACACTTCTGGGGTCCTGTTGTCTGTGGTCACGTTGACTGTCTCCTCGCGAGCAGACTCCACAGCATTCGACTGCTGTCTTTCAATGTTTATCTTTAGAAGAGGAAAGACAAGAGGCCATGACTTGGGTCAGGACGACAGAGAGACTTCGTGGTACTCTGCACTGTTTCCTCTCTGCCTTCTCATTTCAGATACTGTGTAACCAGGGAGGAGAGAGAGGGCCGCTCTGCCGTGAGGGACCTGAGGACAAGATCTAATCATCCCAGGGACCAATGGGTCCTCAGCTGTGATGGAAGTGAGAACTCTATTTGGAGTGCTCTCCCGACCACAAATGTGAAAGATTTCGGGGTGAGTTGGGACCTTTGCAGGTTCCATGGAGTTTGAGGAACCGTGTGGGAAACAGGATACAACATGCAGAGAGAGTTTGGGGAGTGTGAAGTTTTATTTAGGAAGAGGGTGTTGGGAAGGTTTGGTAGGGTAGGGGAGAAGGAGAGATAGAGAGACAGAGAGAGAGAGAGAGAAAAAGAGGGAGACAGAGAAAGAGAGAGGAGGAGAGAGAAAAGGAGGGGGAGAGCTGCCTCTTCAGTAGAAGGAGAGAGAGAGACTGGAAGTGGGAAGAGCTTGTCTTTTAAAGGGACAGGGTACTGTCTGGATTCATTCTGCCAGGTGATAATAATGCACAGCATGATCATAACAAAATGACCAACAATGAAAGGAGGTCCTAGCACCAATTCAGCATATGCTTCCAGCCTGCTGGGGGAGAAAGGATAAGCACTTGGAAACAAAGCCCTATGAGAATGCCAAACATAAATGTGTGGCCCGCGTCCACAACCTGTTGGATGACATATCCATTAGATATAAAATATGCGGATATCTTAGAATTCCCATTCACTTTTTAAAAGGGCGCTGGTGCGAGAAAACATTTAGCCTGATCGTCCCGTCTCTCTAACCATACAGTTGGTGGACAGCGGCATTAAACGCTGTAATCTGGCGGTTGTTCCTGGTTACAGAAACGTCATCTTTCTACCTTCATGGTTACTTGTGTGATGACAGCTTGTAAGATCCATTAAAGAAAACCATCCTTTTCTAATAGAAGGAGGTTAACAGTATCTTCTAAACCTGTCTTAGCTTTGAGTTGGCTCTGAAATTTTTGCTTAAGAGGGTATCCCAAGAGAGTTTACAAAATGAAGGAAGTTCACCCAGGCTTGAATATGCAAGGAATGGCCAAGCAAGACTTTACACCAAGTGATTAACCATGCTGTTCCATGAGTTAAAATAGCTGGAGCTTGTTATTATACATTTGCAATGTTATTGTACACTTCACTTTATATGACTGAAGGAAGGAGAGGACAGCTGAAGGGAGGAAGGAAGGTGGCAGAGTGGGGGGGCGTGTGTGTGTGTGTGTGTGTGTGTGTGTGTGTGTGTGTGGCGGAGAGGGTGAAGTTCCCACGTCCTTCTGGCTCACATTTCTATCTCTGCATTAGGAGGGGAAGCAGCCCACATTACTTACCATGTACATGATCTTGGAGTTTATGCTTTCTGGGCTTATGTGCCACCTCACACAGCTGTCATTAAACACAGACACATCATGAATTTCGACCACTATTTCTAGAATAGGAAAAGAGAAAAGAATTGACTCATGAGCTGTACCAGTGGGCTCTGGGAGAATCCTGGCGGACGCGGGGCATCTGTCCAGCTGGTGTCTCCCTGCTCACCAGCCATGCTCTGATTCAGATGCTGAAGTGAGCAGTCTGAGCGATCCCAGATGGCTCCTCATGAATGAGCCTGGCCCACTGCCTGGCCAGGCAAAGAAAAAAAAAAAAAGATTACTGCCTGAGGGTGGGGAAGAGCTCCAATTGTGATTAGCCTGATGGGCCACTGGATGCCACTGGTGTTCCTTCCATCAGGTAGGCTGGAGCAAGTCCAGAACCCATCGGATTCGCAGCTTCGTTAAAGCCATACCGGGAAGATGCGGGAGTCTGCCTTCCTCATCTTACCCTGGGTGGTAGGCAGTCATTCGAGTGACCGCTGTTCCCATAGGGAAAATGGCACGTGTCACGATGCAGGGTGACTCCTCAGGAGAAGCTTGGGATGAACTAAGAAAGTTTTCCATAGAGTCCCTGATCACCCTGGGATTCTGCTAGCAGAAACCACGTGATCCTGGTATGTGAGAAGCCATGATTTCTCTGGGTTCTGCTTCTTCTAAATAACCTGCATCTCTATTCCATGTGATGAATCCGGCAATGTGGGAAAACACAAGAGTTCCCTTAAGTGACAGTTCCCAATGGACCCAGCCAGCCAGCGTGGTATGCGGAAAACCTACCTTTTCATTTTTAAAATCAAATTGCCTATAAATATTTAAAACCATTTCTATTTGCAAATGGCAGGATCTTATTTGCATACACTCTGAAGGAATTAAAACTTTGAAAAAACATGAAAGCCGAGAAAAGAGCTCAGCAAGGTTGAGAGACAGAAGGTTAATATGTGTTACTGTACAACAGAAATGAATGATTAAAGGAAATTAAAGCAATTTCTTTTACCATCAAATCGAAAAGGGAGAAAAAAACAAAACAACACTTTTAAGTTATGCATTTCACGTTCATCTCTGGAGAGAAGAATTCTCATTTCATCCAAAAGGAGAAAGAATATTCCACAGCCCTATTCAAGCTTCTCCTGGAGGCAGATATCTCACAGGCAGATATCTCACAGGCAGATATCTCACAGGGTCTGATGTGCGTTAGCCCTGCATCCACTTTGACGATGTGACTGTGCTGTGCCTCCTGATCTGGGGCTTCCTTGCTGTGGCTCATGTACTCCAGCACAGGCAGCCTGGACGGGAGAGGAGCGACCTAGCAGACCAGCCACTGCCCTTTTCTCCCTGGAGGCAACTGTCCCAGTGACTGAGTTTCCACAGCCATTCAGAACGCTGTACCAGCAGGGGAGCAGTCCCACCTACCGAGGGGAGACCAGGGCATTATGGCATCTTCACACTGGTTCTTTCTTTCCCTTATTATCCCTCTTGGCCCCTAGTCCAGCTTCCTGGAATTTTACTCCCCGTCATATAATAGTACAAACTCCTGGTTCTGTTTTGGGAGAAATTCAAGGTAAAGCCTGCATCAAGACGAGTGAGTAGACTGTTTGCCTCATAGGCATGGAGGCTTGGGTTTGACCCTCAGAACCCATGCTTGTTTGTTTGCTTGCTTATTTATTTACTATGGTTTAGTCTGATGGGCTGCTGGATATCGCTGGTGTTCCACTCAAGGAGGCCGGAGCAAGGCCCAGAACCAAGCCTGGTGTTGCATGCTTATAATGCCAACTCTAGGAAGGTGGCGACTGCTGGATCCCTGTACCATTTAGGAGGTGCGCTCCACATCAGTGAAAGACCTCATTTCAAAAGCCCAAGTTTGGTTCCCAGAACCCACATCAGACAGTTCACAACTATAACTCTAGCTCCAGGGGATTCGACCCAGGCACCAGCAACCACAGCACACCCACACAGACACATTAAAATGAAAACAGCGAAACAGACATCTCCTGTGGAACAATATCCAAGGTTGACCTCTGGCCACGCACCCATGTGTGCATGCATGCGTGTGTCTGTGTGTGTGTAAGTGAGAACTATAATTCCTTTACCTGGGGAGATAACATTCCCCTAACTAGCTCCTGTCCCTTCCCTATAGTAAATCTCTTCTTAACCACCAAGAGGAAAAAAGAGCCTGAATTTTAAAACCTGCAGAGCTAACTCAGTTTTCTTGTACAGAACCAAAGACAAATTTACCTGGTCTACTTGGCATTATCTAGATTCTATGTCCAGCTGCACCTGTTTTGGGGTAAGTCCAAACTGTTTATTAATAAATAAGTGAGAATAAACTGAGGCAGAGAAGACAATGCAAATTTCTGCAGAGATATCAGAATATCCGCGATGAAGCCTAAAATAACCCGTAGGTTCCCATGTCAGTGATTCTCTCTGGAACACAGAGAATGTGGGGGAAAAAAGAATCCAGTTGCCAGCACGAATAAGCAGGGAGACGTAATGTAAACAGCCTTGTTGGCTCACCTCCTCGGGCAGCAGTGGTGATGCTGGTACCCGAGCAGCAGCCTGGATAAACGTCAAGTATACTGACCACTTCTGCTGCTATCCTTCCAAGCCCCAGAACTCTCAGCCTCTCCGCTCACTCACACGGCCTTCTGATAATAACTCAGCAGCTGGTTCACAGGAAACAGAAGTATCTCTCTCCCCATCTTCTCCCTGATTGCCAATAAAGCAAACAGCCTTCCTATTTGGGGTGCCTGTGTCACCCAAGCAGAGATTGGAAAAGGGTTTCCTTTCTTGTTCTTCCTTTTTGCTCATTCGCTATGACAACTGCAAATGACATCTCAAAGCTGCCATCTGCCTCCAGCCTGTGCCACGCTCTGCACAGATGGGACTCAGATCTGATTACAGAGGAGCCAGATATTCCACCCCAAAGAGTGGCTGAGCAGAGTTGGTGACTCTTCCCACCGAGAATCTACAAACGGGGAGAAAAGACTTTTTTTTTATAGTGCTGCCCTTTGAAACTATGACTCTTGCACACTAATTCTAACTTTCCCTACAACTGAAAAACACACACAGGCTGACAAGATGGCTCAGTGGATAGAAGAGCTTGCCAGCAAGCCTGATGACCTGAGTTTGATCACAAACCCCTAAGGAGAGAACACACCCCCTACGCTGTCCTCCAGGCTCCACGTGTGCACACTGGCATGCATGCACCAACACCTACACACAAATAACTAAACAGACGTCATAGGCATTGAAAAGAGGAGCTGGAGAGAGGGCTCAGAGGTTAAGAGCACTGGCTGTTCTTCCAGAGGTCCCGAGTTCAATTCCCAGCACCCCACATGCTGCCTCACAACCATCCACAATGGGGTCTGGTGGCCTCTTCTGGCCTGCAGGCATACATGCAGACAGAACACTGTCTGCATAAAAAATAAAAAAAAAAAACTTAAAAGAAAAGAAATTGAAAAGAAGGGAAAAGGGAAAGAAGAAAACCATGTAGGGAAGTCTTTGAAGCGGCCTCCCCTTCATTCACTGCTCACAACCTACAGAATTGCTCCCCGTGAGGAAGACTCCACCTCCATTCTTCCCTCAAGGAACACATTGCCAGCCCAACAGAAGGAGCAAACACAGATGCAGGCAGATTGCATTATCACGGGCTCCACACAAATACTGAAGGGCACAGAACGGGAAGATAGCAGCTCTCACTGGAGGACCCGGGAAATTCAGTTTCATGGAGGGCGCAGCCTCGGTAGATAAATGGCTGCAGAGGAGGGAGGATGCGTGAGCAGAAAGAACGGGTCTGAATACCGTGCTCGTGAAAGGGCGAGGCAGGGAAGAGCAAGTGTTGAGGGGGGAGACGTCAGGTTGGTACAGAAGTGAGGCTGCAGAGGATACACAGGAGGGGACAGGGACGGGCTTGCAGGCCGGATTAAAGGCACACGCCTCCAGAGACAAGCTGCAGGATAACGAGAGGGCCAGTTTTCCATTTGGAAGGAAGCACTCGAGCGCAGAAGAACCGGAGGTCATAAAATAGAATATAATACTGTTTACTCAATGACAACTATATGTCAGGCTCAGACTGCTCTTGACAGACTTGATCTCATTTTCCCAGCAGTCACAAGAAGCAATAATAAAAACAATAAGAAAGAGAGAACACTTATTGAGTTATAACTATGAACCAGAAAGTGGGCACAGGACTTCAACGTTCAAAATATCCTGATGACTAGCCATCACCATGTCCATTTCATAGACCCGAGGCGTGGATGTTAAGAAACCTCCGAGGGCCAGACAGCGTGAGGGACTGAGTCCGGACTCACAATTAGATGCATTACACCCCGCTGCCGAGAGAGCCTTTAAACTGAAGCAGATACTCAGACAAGAGGTTAGGACATGAAACCGGGGTACTGTATTATGAAACAAGAAACAATTCTGAAGGAGATGAATGGGAGGTGACGGAGCAGGAACAGAGTGGAGCCCTGGCTGACAGCCAGCCTCTGTGCTCAAGGGTCTGAATGAATCACCCTTCACTGCTCTCCAGAGAAACAGGAGAGGAGGCAGAGTGGGTTGTAAGAGGGAACGATGAACTGGTTTGAGGACGCGCTGGATATGAGCTGTCTGCTGGCCGTCCAACGGTCAAACAGCCTTAAAAGCCATGGATCTGTGAGTGGAAGACACAGGTAGTGAAGGTGAGACATAGAAGTAGGTCATAGAGAGGGGCTCGGTGAGAGAAACACCGCTGCTCAAGAGACTTGGGAAACAAGGGCCGTACGGGGAAGAGGAAGGGGAGGGGCTAAGGGAAACCGTGCTCAGGAAGGGAAGGAAGGGGTGTGTCTTTCTTAAAAGCAGCCTCCAGCCCCGCTCAGCTTCCTCACCATGGCCAAGTAGGGTGTAGCGTGTCCTTAAAGCCCAGGGGCAAGGTCAACCTCCCTCCCTCTATCTTTTGTCCTTGCTGAATAGCCTACCAGGCCCACTTAGACACCAGGTTTGACCTTGGGCAGAAGTAGAAAGAGCAGGCCTTTGTTCTGTACAGACGTAGGACAAATAGGCGTCTCCAATTTGACTTAGAGAAGGGTCCTACAAGGTTTGGTTGTGAACAATCTAATTCTTTCTTTTTTTGTGTGTTAAGTCTTAAGTTAAAGTCATGTAAAATGGGTAAAAGTGAATATACAAGATGTATGGTGAATTTTTGTGGCATTTGAATAAACATTTCATCAGGTGTTAATTTTTTGTGCACATTGGGAAAAACACATCTAGCTTATCAAAGTCATGATATACCCCATACTACAAAGAATTCTTAGTTGCTATATTAAAACTACAAATTTAAATATCTGTCAGGTATCTTGGGGTTTCTCTTGCTGTGAAGAGACCCCATAACCGTAGTCACTCTTATAAAGAAAACATTAAACTCGGGAGGCTCGCTTTTAGTTTCAGAGGTTCGGTCCATTATTATCGTGACAGGGAGCATGGCAGTGTACAGGCAGATGTGATGCTGGAGAAGTAGCTGAAAGTCCAGCATCTTGCAGGCAACAGAAAGTCGATCGTGACACCGAGAGAAGCTAAAACAAAAGACCTCAAAGTCTGCCTCCACAGTGATGCTCCTCCTCCAACAAGACCATACCTACCCCAACCAGGCCACACCTCCTAATAGTGCCACTCCCTTTGGGGGCCATCTTCTTTCAAACCACCACATCCGGCATGGTGATAGATGTCTATAGACTGAGTTGCTTAAGAGGCTAAGGCAGGTAGATCTCTTGAGAACAAGAGTTTAAAACCAGCCTGACGAGCTGATGAGGGAGAGGGACTTGATGGGGGGAGGGGGAGAGAAATGGGAGGCGGTGGCGGGGAGGAGGCAGAAATCCTTAATAAATAAATAAATTTAAAAAAAAAAAAACAGCCTGAGCAACATAGCAAAACTCCATCCCAAACGTGACTGTGTATGTGTGTAAAACGTGTGAATATATATATGTATATGTGTACAATTATACTATACATATGTGTGTATATATTATTTTTAAAAACAAGCTGTGTAAATCACTGTTTAGTTATGTCAAAGATAATCAGGATGTTATGCAAATAACTCAAGCTTGGAAGAACAAGAACAGGAAAGTGTGGGATTCCAGGACTCTCAGACTTGAGTTCAAATCATAACTCCATCAAGTCCTAGTTACAGAATGACCCTAAGAAAATTGCTTAACCTCTGCGAATCTCAGATCACTCAGCTGTGAAATGAACCTTGCTTTACAGGTTTCCTGTGACAATGAAGTGAAGTCAAGCATTAAAGCCCCCCAAGAGAACCCTGGGCGTGCAAGCTGGTGTTCGGTGATCAGAGCAATGATGTTGGTAGTGCAGATTTTATGCACGTATTCATACCCAATGCAGTTGTGTGTCTATTACAGTAATGTGCCCATTGACCCAGCCAGCCTTTCTTGTCCATCTAAAACAGACAGAGCTGCAAGTGAGCACATACTGGACTGACGAGGAGGGTTGACAACCAAGGAGGGACACAGGGTAACAGGAGCTTGGGAGCATTTGCAGTCGTAACTGGGAAGTTATGGGATGTAGAAAGGATCCTGGCGGATCGGCAGACTCAATGTTTCAAAAGAGTCATTACTCCCCCAAGAGCATGGAGTGATGGAGGGACAGAGCGTGGAGGGTTAACCTTGTAATTATTAACCCAGACTCTAAACATAAAAGCTAAATGACCTGGGCAGAATAGAAGTCGGGGACAGCCTTATCAAGAATGAATCGGCCTCTTTGATCTTGAAGTAAACTGACTCACTAACGTGAAGCTTCCACCTCGGGTTTTTCCAGACACTAAAGTACTTGCCTAATTCCCAGCTGTCTGGAATTTCCAGTTCAAACTGGCCTGAGAGAAGAAAAAAAAAAATCCTACCATCTTCTTAGAATTCATACTTAGTGAAAAACATTACAAAACCATGCCACTGATGCAGAGGCATGGGGCTCCAAAAATATCTGACAGTAAATAAAAACAATCTGTGCACAGATAGTTCACTCCACCCAGCTTGGAATTAAACACGGAAGTACAGAAAGAGGGGTACAGGGAGTGAGAATGGGGAAAGAAGCTAAGCATGAACACTGAGTGAAGGAAATACAAAATACACGGGCAATCAGGACAGGGGATAAAGACGTTGATGAAAAACAGGGGAAAGAAAAGAGAAGAGGGACGGCAAAGCAAGAGCCTTGACAACCAGCATCTCTCGCTTTTCCAGAAGCTTCTCCAGCCTTCCCTTCCGTGAATTAATCAGCATGTAAATCATTCCCTTTATCTGTAAAAAATCGAATTGAGCTGCCAGGCCTGATGGAGGGCACACAGCCTCCTCACAGAGAGAGAGCCTAGCTCCCCAGGAGAATGCCTTTTTCTCTCCTTCAATCAAAGCCCGCCTCAGCCCATGCCACAGCTGCAGCTGGAACCCCGGCCTTAGCCAGAGGTGGAAGGCTGAGGACAGTAATTATAATTAGCGGTTACATAACATGTTTGTTCTTCAAAGTGCTGTACAAGGATCAGCTGATTAATAGCTTACTGGGCCCCATGCAGATCTCCTGGTTTTTCGTGTATGACTAATCCTTGTGCCCCCACTGAATTCTCAACGGTGGCAGCAGAGGACCTTGAGCAACGCGGCAAACGGCGAAGAGGCCACAGCTATCCCCAGCTCTCTTCCCAAACAATCCTGGGAAGAGCTGCTTTATCTTTAAGTCTCGGAGCTGCTGCCGGGCTGTGACAGAGACTACCTGTCCGGCTCAGTTTGGTCTTAGGGAAACCGGAAGCGCCTGGAGTCCTTGGTCTTTGCTACACAGGCTTGGCCTTGCTTCTTTGCTCAGCCAGCGAGGCTGAAGAAGCTAGTACAGAGTTGTGGGTTCTCATCTTCTGTTTTCTCCCCACTCTCTAGCCTGCATCTTTTGCATTTAATATGGAGATAGCTGAAGGTAAGAACTTTCTGCCTACTCCGAGGATTCTTAACCCACAGACTTCAGCAGTCTGTGATGGTTTGAATATCTCTACAAAACATTACAAGAACACGTGAACACGCATTTCCTTGGGTAGAGATCTGATTCTTTTACCACACTGTAAATTCCAAAAAAGGAGTGTTTCACACACAGTGCACACTGGTCTACAAAGTGAGTTCCAGGATAACCAGAACTACACAGAGAAACCCTGCCTGGGAAGGGCGCGCGGCAGCGGCGGGGGGGGGGGGGGGGGGGGGGGGGGGGGGGGGATGGGGGGGGGGGGAGTATGCCAAGTGAAATTAGCGAAGCTAAAAACAAACAAACAAACAACTCCAGTACCATATGAGTCTATTTATATGGATTGCCTAAAGTAGTCAAATTCCTGAGATAGAAAGCAGAAGAGAAGGTTCCAGGGTCTATGGGGCGTGGGTGAGAAACAGGAAACTCCAGTTTTAAAAGATAAGATGTTCTGGGGATTGATTATGCAATAAAGAATATATATATATAATACCAATGAATTGCATAGTGAAGAAGAACCAATATAATACATTTTTTGTATTTTGTGTTTTGATACAAATAAAACTGAAATTCCTTGCATTTGCTATCTTTTGCCTGAAAAGCTGTCATGCCAAAATGTGTTAAGAATATGAGAAAATGGTTCATAGAATAGATTTTCTTCATTGGTTAAGGAGAGAAGGCAAAAAAAAACCATAATGAATTTAACTATGGTATTTTAAAAGAATCTCAGGAACCATTTTCCCAAAAAGTATAGTAGGGACTATTGTCCTAAGAATGTTTGCGGGGAGCCCCACACCCAACTATCTTGAAAGCTATCTGTTAGTGGAACCCGCCCCACATTCCAACTATCTGGAGAATTGTTTGTGGTTGGAATCACAAAAGGAACGATTCCGCTTGCATAGAGAACACTAGGTGTGTCGATTTGTGACCATTGCTGCCCTGGCAAGATCCCTTCCTGCCCTTGCCATGCCCCTGCCTCCATCCCAAGCCAAATTCCTCATTCAAGGGCTATATAAGCCACAACCATTTCACTAATAAAGAGAGACCTTGACAACAGAATCTTGCTTGGTCTCCTTCCTGTCTCCCGCCCCTGTCTTTTTCAGAAAGCGCCTCTTCGGGACCTTGGAATAACTGACCCGATGGGGGGGGGGGGGGGGGTTACAAAAGAAGAACACGTAAAATTCGCTGTATAACTTATTTTCCCAATCTGCCTTCTAAACCATCAAGATTAAGCTGGTAAATCTACAGCCAAGTGCCCACCCAAGCAAAGGGCGGCAGAGGCAGGCACAAGCCACAGGGAGGCAGCTTATGCTCCACCCTCCTGCTGTTAGGTTCCCAGGTAGCAGGGCCTAGCAGAACCGAATCTGTACCTGTGCATGTGTACGTGATTTCACTCCAGCCTTTCTCCGTGCAAACAGAAGTGATCTTTTCTCCAGGACTCTCGAAGCCCTCCTGACAGACATAGTGAGCCACACTGCCCAGGCTGGAGGTGGGATTCCCCACCAAGATGGCGTTCTGGACTGCGGGAGGGCTGCCACAGCTGATCTCTGCAATGAGAGGCAACAGGACACCTATGATGAGCCCTGCCTTCCGTGCCCACAACGAGAATCTCAGAAGTGAGCGTTTTATGATGACAGGGGCCATTCTTCTGGGGAAAGAGAAAACACAAACTCCCTCAAATAACTCAAATATAATTATGTAAAATTAAGGTTGTTCAGAAGTACAGGAAACTGGTATGCCTGGATTTAATGAAATTTTCAAACGTGCACCCAGAGAGAAGAACCGAATTATGAGATGGCTTACGTATAGAGCTCCCTGTCTGTGAAATAATACATCTTAGGGTTTATTTACATACGAAAGTTCTGTGGAACTTTTTACTGTGCATCTTCAGGTCACTAACTCTTGAGTTGGGGATAGTGCATTGTAGCAACCGTTATCAACTGGATAGTAAATAAAATATAAAATCCTTGACTCTCTTGAAGCAAAGCAAAGCAGAAAGTGCCTATCTTCCTACATTCAAGTTACAGACAGTTCTCAAGGGCAAACGACACTTGCAGAGAGACAGACAGATCAGAAAGTATCAAACTGATATGAAGTCTCTCTTCTGCAGCTTTAAAAGACAGTGGACTGCCGGGCCGTGGTGGCGCACGCCTTTAATCCCAGCACTCGGGAGGCAGAGGCAGGCGGATCTCTGTGAGCTCGAGACCAGTCTGGTCTACAAGAGCTAGTTCCAGGACAGGCTCCAAAACCACAGAGAAACCCTGTCTCAAAAAACCAAAAAAAAAAAAAAAAAAAAAAAAAAAAAAAAGACAGTGGACTATCTGCACAGAACGTTATGGGAAAGAAAGAGCATGACATAACCAGCTTGGGCCATCCAAACCAGACCTCAGAACACAAGGCAGTCATCATCAGTCAGACACTCTCAACTTTCAAAAATGTTCTGTATATCTTTTCTGACAAAAACGCAAAAGAATCTAATAATATATTGACTTAATAAATACTTGTAAGCCCAGCGCTTAGAGGGCTGAAGTAGGGAGGCTGGACACTGAAGGACCATCCTGGGATGCAGAGTGAAACACTGTCTCCAAAACCAAACACTTGATGGATGAACAGATCACTTCTTACTCTCCTCCCCCTGTCCTCTGGCCACAGACATTGTTCATGGCCTCTGAGCTTTATTTCGTTCTCTTCTTTAAATTTCACTGATTGGGATGACTTTGGTGATGGGGTTCACCTTTCAGACCTAAGCCTACTTTGCCAACATCCTTTTGGGTCCCCCCCTCCCTGCTTTTTTAGTCATTTTAGAAAAAAAAGATACAAAGCAAGCAAATAAATATGAATCAATGTGCAATTCTGTCTTTAATACTGAATCATCAGACACCACCCAAATGTTTATCAAAAGAGAATTGGATGCTAGGTGTGGTGTTCCGCCTATAATCCCAGCACCCAAGAAGGGAAGGCAGGAAGAATAAGAATTTAAAGCTAGCCTTGGCTACAAGACGCCCAAGAAGAGCTAGAGAAAATTAGGTGAACAAGCCACAATGCTACTGAGCAAGTCATAAAAAGACTAGAAGAATCCACACACTGGTATGAAAAGATGCCCGGGGTACAAAGGCACGGTACTAAGACAGACATTGGGTTTCATCTAAATGTCCAGATGTCTCCCTTTGCATGGTTTCCCTTTGATTCCAAATAACCACACACATATGCTGAGCAATGGATTGTATAATGTGTGTTTAAAAAAATACATAGGAACTTGAATACTGCTTATTGTCTGTCAATAGAGTCTTAGAGTTCCTACCCACATCATACCTAGCATCAAAAGTAACCTAGTCTGATAAGAAAAGGACTCAGGATCGGTCTGTCTTAGGAAATGGGGATGGGGAGACAAGTGTCAGGAAACACATGGGTGAACAATGAGATTGGCAGGTACGCAGACAAGTCTCTATAGCCTGTTAAATGGGAGAGACCACTTGAAACAGCATTCTTAAATGACTAAAGGTTGAGCAACGTAAAACAATTAGTAACAGAAACATGATTCCAAAGTTTTCCGGTAAAACTTGAGCAGGGAGGCTTAGGGGCCATGTAAAGCTAACTCTGTCACCAGGGGGACTGTAGTAATAGGAGCGGCGGGGCTGAGTCCCCAGCACCCGGCTGCCCACATGGCTAGCTTAAGCTTATGCCCCGAAATAATTACACGGACACTGTATTCTTTTAAACACTGCTTGGCCCTTTAGCTCTAGCCCTTACTGGCTAATTCTGATATCCCGATCAACCCATCTCTAATAATCTGTGAGCACCAGTCTTACCGGGAAGATTCTAGCCTACGTCCATCCTGGGTGGGAGCTTCATTGCGAGTGTCTGCCCGGGAGCGGGGCATGGCGTCTCTTCTGAGGAGTCTGTTCCCGAGAGGAGAGCTGTGGAGTCTGACCTCACTTCCTCTTCCTCCCAGCATTTTGTTCTGTTTACTCCTCCCACCTATGTTTTAACCTATGAGGGCCAGCCAAGCAGTTTCTTTATTTTTTTAACCAATGACCTTCCTCCATCAGGGGACAGAGGGAAGTTCACAGGGGCAATGCTACTCTAGAAAGAACAGCAAACGTAAGGGGACTGGGAATGCAGCTCAGTGGTTAGCGCCCTCAGAAGCACGTTTGAAGTTCATCCCCATCCTCACTAAACAGAGAGTAGGGGTGCCTAGCTGCACCCCAGCATTTAGGAGACAGAAGCAGGAGGATTTGAAATTCAAGGTAAGCTTTTAATCCCAGCACCTGGGAGGCAGAGGCAGGAGGATTTCTGTGAGTGAGTTCCAGGCCAGTCAGAGAGACTGAGAAACACTGTGTTGTAGGAACTAGAATTACTTTCCTAAGAAACACTTCCTAGATCAGCGTTCTCATCTGTTGCCGTTGGAGTTATCCAAAGATCTATTATACACACAACAGCCCAGCCCACCTCAACAGTATTCTGGCTGAAAGTGAGCTTTCAGTCAACACAAACTCAAATCAGAAGCAGTTATGGGACCAGAATAAAGCGGTGACTTCATAAAGTCCCAGCTCTATCTCCTTAGGTCCATATTTGCTTACAGGGATCTGTTCCCTTTTCATACATGTTTACCAAATACAAGACCCCTTGGCCCTCATGGTGTTTTTCCAGCATCAAGCCTCTACTGGCCCCAAATATTGCTATCCATTGGTAATATTTGTGTGTACACGAGCAGTCAACCAAACAAGTAGTTAATGTTTCCTAAGGCTGCCCAGTCACTTGCATAAAAAATTTCTAGTTTAAGCTAGGATTTGCTAGAGCAAATAGAAGAGGAAATAAGAGAGAAGGGTTGGAAATTGAAACATCAATGAAGAACTGAAATTAAAAATATACTTTTATGTACCTTGAATATGGACTCCTAAAGATCTCAGTAGTGATGTTAGAAAAGGAACCCAAGCTGGGCGGTGGTGGATCACGCCTAATCCCAGCACTTGGGAGGCAGAGGCAGGTGGATCTCAGTGAGTCTGAGGCAGCCTGGTCTACAAAGAAAGCTTCAGCACATCCAGGACCATTACACCGAGAAAACCTGTTTCAAAAAAAAAAAACAAAACAAAAAGAAAAGAAAAGACAAAAAAAGAAAAGGAAAAGGAACCTAGAAATAGATACTTAACAGAGGAGCGTAGGTTCTAAGAGAGTAAGAATGTGGAAGAGACGATAACAAGATTGGTTTCCATCTCAAACATATTCAAGAGCAATGGAAAGCATAAAGATTTTAGTTGTGCTTGCAAGAAGTTTATAATTTACAGTAAAAAAAAATATTTACCAGATCGATGAGAAACCATTGGCTTGGTCTCTAGAGAGGAAAATTCAAAAGGCAGACAGTACCTAGAGTTCTGTGAGCTCCCATTACAGAGACGTTCAAGTTGCACAATCCCCTGGCAGAAGAGATTTAGAAATACTGTGTGATTTGAACAAAACACATTGTTCTAAGCACTGTTCGATAAGGATGGCATAGGGAGCATATGAAATGCATGCATGTTGACTATTAGGCCTTCGTGTGCAATGGGCCCCACGTTTGAAGACTTGCTCTCTGGTTGGGGAGATTGCAGAACCTCTTGAATGTCGGTCCACACTGGGAGACACATGCTGCTGAGCATAAGCCAAGGACACTATCCTAGCCCCTGCTTCTAGACCCTTCTATTTCCCAGTCCTCCAAGACGTAAGGTATGCCAAGAGCTCCTGGCTGTCACGTACGGAACTAGCCACGGAACAGGGCTGTTTCCCTTGAACTATGATCTACAATAAATCATTCTTCCCATTAGTTCTCTTGCCACAGCTACCAGGAGAGCAACTAACATGGAAATCAGTGCTAGGAAGTAGGTCACAGCTGTGTAAACTTGACTGTGTGGTTCACAGGCCTTGCTGGGGTGTTCTGTGTAGCAAGGGTCTGTTGAAGAAAGAAGGCATTCCAGGGTGAATGATTTTAAGTCCTTTGTGGCACCAGGAAGGTTCAGCCTCTCTGAAGGACTGAACCCCAAACAACCTTATACGGGCATATTTATCGATTGTCACACAAAATACTTCCTCATGCCAAGGTCCCTAATCTAATTTACATGTCTTATGGAAGGACAGCATCACAGGCTCTCGTGGCTCTGTCTGCTATGCATTGTGTGCAATACACAATAATACAGGAGCCTCCGGTGTGCCTGAGGCATCTTGTGACCAAAGTCATGGGACAGCTGCAATGGCCCTTCAGCAAAACAATTCTACAGATCAAGGGAAGCAAACATTGCTTTCCACAAGGAATCTTCAAGGTCAAAGTTCTTCCAGAAGATAATGATTCATTCTAATGTCTACTCCAAATTCAGCAACTCGACTTAACGCCTCCAACAGGCCTTCTGAACGATCTTGTTGGGGGAACGTTGGAGAATTTAGAGCTCTGGGTTAAAGAAGCCTTACTATACTGTCAACCTTCCTAATGCTGTGACCCTTTAATACAGTTCCTCATGTTGTGATGACCTCAATCATAAAGTTACTTTGTTGTACTTCATAACTATAGTTTTGCTAC